GTGCTACTGCTTCTCGATGAGACAAACACAGTGGTGGCCGAAATTTTCAGATCGGACGATAAACAAAGATTCTACAGGGTACGGGGACTAAAATTAACGTTTAAAGTGACCTTGACCTTGACCTATGACCTTGACCTCGGATTTTTTTCAAATGTGCTACTGCTTCTCGATGAGACGATTACAGTGGTGGCCGAAATTTTCAAATCGGACCATAAACAAAGATTCTACAGGGTACGGGGACTAAAATTAACGTTTAAAGTGACCTTGACCTTGACCTATGACCTTGACCTCGGATTTTTTCAAATGTGCTACTGCTTCTTGATGAGACGAACACAGTGGTGGCCGAAATTTTCAGATCGGACGATAAACAAAGATTCTACAGGGTACGGGGACTAAAATTAACGTTTAAAGTGACCTTGACCTTGACCTATGACCTTGACCTCGGATTTTTTTAAATGTGCTACTGCTTCTCGATGAGACGAACACAGTGGTGGCCGAAATTTTTAAATCGGACCATAAACAAAGATTCTACAGGGTACGGGGACTAAAATTAACGTTTAAAGTGACCTTGACCTTGACCTATGAGCTTGACCTCTAATTTTTTCAAATATGCTACTGCTTCTCGATGAGACGAACACAGTGGTGGCCGAAATTTTCAAATCGGACCATAAACAAAGATTCTACAGGGTACGGGGACTAAAAGTAACGTTTAAAGTGACCTTGACCTTGACCTATGACCTTGACCTCGGATTTTTTCGAATGTGCTACTGCTTCTCGATGAGACGAACACAGTGGTGGCCGAAATTTTTAAATCGGACCATAAACAAAGATTCTACAGGGTACGGGGACTAAAATTAACGTTTAAAGTGACCTTGACCTTGACCTATGACCTTGACCTCTGATTTTTTCAAATGTGCTACTGCTTCTCGATGAGACGAACACAGTGGTGGCCGAAATTTTCAAATCGGACCATAAACAAAGATTCTACAGGGTACGGGGACTAAAATTAACGTTTAAAGTGACCTTGACCTTGACCTATGACCTTGACCTCGGATTTTTTCCAATGTGCTACTGCTTCTCGATGAGACGAACACAGTGGTGGCCGAAATTTTCAGATCGGACAATAAACAAAGATTCTACAGGGTACGGGGACTAAAATTAACGTTTAAAGTGACCTTGACCTTGACCTATGACCTTGACCTCGGATTTTTTCAAATGTGCTACTGCTTCTTGATGAGACGAACACAGTGGTGGCCGAAATTTTCAAATCGGACCATAAACAAAGATTCTACAGGGTACGGGGACTAAAATTAACGTTTAAAGTGACCTTGACCTTGACCTATGACGTTGACCTCGGATTTTTTCAAATGTGCTACTGCTTCTCGTTGAGACGAACACAGTGGTGGCCGAAATTTTCAGATCGGACGATAAACAAAGATTCTACAGGGTACGGGGACTAAAATTAATGTTTAAAGTGTCCTTGACCTTGACCTATGACCTTGACCTCGGATTTTTTCGAATGTGCTACTGCTTCTCGATGAGACGAACACAGTGGTGGCCGAAATTTTAAATCGGACCATAAACAAAGATTCTACAGGGTACGGGGACTAAAATTAACGTTTAAAGTGACCTTGACCTTGACCTATGACTTTGACCTCGGATTTTTTCAAATGTGCTACTGATTCTCGATGAGACAAACACAGTGGTGGCCGAAATTTTCAGATCGGACGATAAACAAAGATTCTACAGGGTACGGGGACTAAAATTAACGTTTAAAGTGACCTTGACCTTGACCTATGACCTTGACCTCGGATTTTTTCGAATGTGCTACTGCTTCTCGATGAGACGAACACAGTGGTGGCCGAAATTTTTAAATCGGAAAATAAACAAAGATTCTACAGGGTACGGGGACTAAAATTAACGTTTAAAGTGACCTTGACCTTGACCTATGACCTTGACCTCGGATTTTTTCAAATGTGCTACTGCTTCTCGATGAGACGAACACAGTGGTGGCCGAAATTTTCAGATCGGACGATAAACAAAGATTCTACAGGGTACGGGGACTAAAATTAACGTTTAAAGTGACCTTGACCTTGACCTATGACCTTGACCTCGGATTTTTTCAAATGTGCTACTGCTTCTTGATGAGACGAACACAGTGGTGGCCAAAATTTTCAAATAGGACCATAAACAAAGATTCTACAGGGTACGGGGCTAAAATTAACGTTTAAAGTGACCTTGACCTTGACCTATGACCTTGACCTCGGATTTTTTCGAATGTGCTACTGCTTCTCGTTGAGACGAACACAGTGGTGGCCGAAATTTTCAGATCAGACGATAAACAAAGATTCTACAGGGTACGGGGACTAAAATTAACGTTTAAAGTGACCTTGACCTTGACCTATGACCTTGACCTCGGATTTTTTCAAATGCGCTACTGCTTCTCGATGAGACGAACACAGTGGTGGCCGAAATTTTTAAATCGGACCATAAACAAAGATTCTACAGGGTACGGGGACTAAAATTAACGTTTAAAGTGACCTTGACCTTGATCTATGACCTTGACCTCGGATTTTTTCAAATGTGCTACTGCTTCTCGATGAGACAAACACAGTGGTGGCCGAAATTTTCAGATCGGACGATAAACAAAGATTCTACAGGGTACGGGGACTAAAATTAACGTTTAAAGTGACCTTGACCTTGACCTATGACCTTGACCTTGAATTTTTTCAAATGTGCTACTGCTTCTCGATGAGACGAACACAGTGGTGGCCGAAATTTTCAAATCGGACCATAAACAAAGATTCTACAGGGTACGGGGACTAAAATTAACGTTTAAAGTGACCTTGACCTTGACCTATGACCTTGACCTCGGATTTTTTCCAATGTGCTACTGCTTCTCGATGAGACGAACACAGTGGTGGCCGAAATTTTCAGATCGGACGATAAACAAAGATTCTACAGGGTACCGGGACTAAAATTAACGTTTAAAGTGACCTTGACCTTGACCTATGAACTTGACCTCGGATTTTTTCACATGTGCTACTGCTTCTCGATGAGACGAACACAGTGGTGGCCGAAATTTTCAAATCGGACCATAAACAAAGATTCTACAGGGTACGGGGACTAAAATTAACGTTTAAAGTGACCTTGACCTTGACCTATGACCTTGACCTCGGATTTTTTCAAATGTGCTACTGCTTCTCGTTGAGACGAACACAGTGGTGGCCGAAATTTTCAGATCGGACGATAAACAAAGATTCTACAGGGTACGGGGACTAAAATTAATGTTTAAAGTGTCCTTGACCTTGACCTATGACCTTGACCTCGGATTTTTTCGAATGTGCTACTGCTTCTCGATGAGACGAACACAGTGGTGGCCGAAATTTTTCAATCGGACCATAAACAAAGATTCTACAGGGTACGGGGACTAAAATTAACGTTTAAAGTGACCTTGACCTTGACCTATGACCTTGACCTCGGATTTTTTCAAATGTGCTACTGCTTCTCGATGAGACAAACACAGTGGTGGCCGAAATTTTCAGATCGGACGATAAACAAAGATTCTACAGGGTACGGGGACTAAAATTAACGTTTAAAGTGACCTTGACCTTGACCTATGACCTTGACCTCGGATTTTTTCGAATGCGCTACTGCTTCTCGATGAGACAAACACAGTGGTGGCCGAAATTTTCAAATCGGACCATAAACAAAGATTCTACAGGGTACGGGGACTAAAATTAACGTTTAAAGTGACCTTGACCTTGACCTATGACCTTGACCTCGGATTTTTTCGAATGTGCTACTGCTTCTCGTTGAGACGAACACAGTGGTGGCCGAAATTTTCAGATCAGACGATAAACAAAGATTCTACAGGGTACGGGGACTAAAATTAACGTTTAAAGTGACCTTGACCTTGACCTATGACCTTGACCTTGAATTTTTTCAAATGTGCTACTGCTTCTCGATGAGACGAACACAGTGGTGGCCGAAATTTTCAAATCGGACCATAAACAAAGATTCTACAGGGTACGGGGACTAAAATTAACGTTTAAAGTGACCTTGACCTTGACCTATGACCTTGACCTCGGATTTTTTCCAATGTGCTACTGCTTCTCGATGAGACGAACACAGTGGTGGCCGAAATTTTTAAATCGGACCATAAACAAAGATTCTACAGGGTACGGGGACTAAAATTAACGTTTAAAGTGACCTTGACCTTGACCTATGACCTTGACCTCGGATTTTTTCCAATGTGCTACTGCTTCTCGATGAGACGAACACAGTGGTGGCCGAAATTTTTAAATCGGACCATAAACAAAGATTCTACAGGGTACGGGGACTAAAATTAACGTTTAAAGTGACCTTGACCTTGACCTATAACCTTGACCTCGGATTTTTTCAAATGTGCTACTGCTTCTCGATGAGACGAACACAGTGGTGGCCGAAATTTTTAAATCGGACCATAAACAAAGATTCTACAGGGTACGGGGACTAAAATTAACGTTTAAAGTGACCTTGACCTTGACCTATGACCTTGACCTCGGATTTCTTTGAATGTGCTACTGCTTCTCGATGAGACAAACACAGTGGTGGCCGAAATTTTCCGATAGCTCCAAAAATGAAGATTTTATAGGGTACGGCTATTTTTAAAGTGACCTTGACCTTGACCTATGACCTTGACCTCGGATTTTTTTGAATGTGCTACTGCTTCTGGATGAGACCAACATACTGGTGGTCGAATTTTTCAAATCGGACCATAAACAAAGATTCTACAGGGTACGCAGTATTTTGACCTCTCAAGGTCAAACGGTTTGACCTAGGAAAAAAAGGTCACCATTTTCGAACTCAGCGTGCCATGGGCTATCTGTATGCCAATTTTGAGCGAAATCATTACTCGAATTTGAATCCGAATACGAATACGACGCTAACTTTATGGACATCTTGTGGCTTTGGTTACGTGCTGGGTGAGGCCGCATTCCTGTACGCCCTCAACAAACCTTTTGGTGTAGTGACCATCAGGAGCGTGGGAGAAGTGATCGTTCCAGTCGATCTGGGGCATGTTCACATCACCCGCAATCACTATGTGGGAGAACTTTTGGGAAACAACAGTTTTCAGCAGAGATATTAGGTTGTCTGTTGAGGTGTTCCCATCACTGGATGGGCTTCTGTACAGACATCCTATGAGCAGCTGGTCAGCACCTAGCAAAGGTAGCATGACCCACAGCTGTTCTTCATAAGAGCAGGCTGGGAAAGACACCTCTGTAGCCTGCCACTTTGCACTGACAAATATGCAGATGCCTCGTGAGCCCCCCTGTCCCAGTTTATCCTTGACAGGGTCAAAGTTAAGGAACATGGTATAGTTTGGAAGGGCCATGGTTGCAGGGTGCATTGGATGGCTCTGGGCTTTTGGGATGACCTCACACAAAAGTATCAGATCAGGCTCGTTGTTTGAAATGAACATGGCCAGGTCCTCCCTCTTGTTTAAGTATTGGTCAATGTTTGTGTATTATTTTGAAATGTTTATTTTGAAATGTTTCCTTGACAGAAGCCAGGAGCCGGATTGATGTTTGCTGGTGAATGAGATGGTTCGAAAGCATCTGATGTTTTTCAAGGTACATAAGTCATAACATCCCTTTCATACGCTGAAGTTTTAATAGCTTCTCAGTCTCTGTCATTTTCCTGAAATATTGGTGTAGATAAGAGATATCAGTACCTTCTCAGAGGTACCTCCCTTCTGCTGGATAAATATTTAATTGGTTGGATGAAATGGACAGCTAGCCTTATGATAATGTAATGTGAAATTTTATTTCTATAAAACTTTGAATATTAAGTTCTAATTATTCATATGTGCATACATTTTTGATGACTTAAGAAAGTTTTCCACAAGAGTAGATAATGTGGGAAAGTCTATCAAATGGCACATTCTGAAGGCTCAATGCTGACAGAGTGCTGCCTCAAAGAATAACTGACTTGCTGGGTTACGAATATTTCTTTATTTTAATGGGGATGTTCGCGCTAAGAGTTCCGAAAAGTCTCGCCAGGTGGCAGCACCGTATGCTTTGGACACAACGCGCCGGCCGGGCGCCGGCCAGGCCGGGGATAACACTGCGGGCGGCGACGGCGGCCGACGCGCCGCGAACGGAAACTGCGTTTCATGTCTTTTTCAGGTTCATCATTTTGCTAAAATGAGTAGCTACAGTTGATTTCGATATTAGGAAGACAATGACGCGTGTGAAAGGCAAACTACTACATCGTCATTGAGCGGAAGGAAAGGGAGCTGATCGAATAGTCACCAAAAGCTACGGAGTACGAAAAACACGATGTTATCACATATTTTAACTTACACAGTTGAAATTAAAAACCTTATTACATTCAGACATATATTCACACGCATGAAACAATCGATTTACAGCACACATTCCATGACAAGAACGCATACCTACGGTCTTAAGTTGACCTCTAGCGCTCGTCACTGTCAGATAAGTCAATCACATCCCTGTAGTTTGTGCAGACTATTGACATAACCCTTCATCCGGCATGCGTTCATTCTGTAATGATGGGCAGCGAATCACCGGCGATTTCTGCGTGGCTCTATATGACATCCTCGTCCGTTCCCCAGGTCAATTGGTTCGGTGACTTTCAAATTATAGCAGGCCCTTCCTCGGTCAGGCTTGATGGATCCACCGTCACTTTGCGCGGTATACTTTTAAGACAGACTGTACCTTCTACCAACACGACTGACTGATAACAATCTGATGCGAAAGGGACAATATCTCGTCGGTCTATCAGTTAAAGTTAAATATTCAGCGACACAAGTGTGAAGGCTGCCTGGAAAACTTGCAACAAACTAAGTAAACTAAGCTTGGCTTGTAATGGGCACAAACTTGTAATAAAGAGGTACTTAATTAGCAAATCCACAATGTTCTGTTCAGGCAAGTAGCCTTCACATATGAAGCATTGCTATGACTACTCTTCTAGAGCTGATTGATAGCTTTTGAAGGAAGGAGCTGAGTGGCTGAGCCCTACCATTCACCACTTATCACCTTCAACAATTGCTTAAGGCATGCAGTTCTCTATCACTAGAAAATATCTGACAATTTGTTGGCTCTCATTTGTCTATGATGCAACCAGACATGTGCATGGATCCGAGAAAATGGATCTGGGATCTGATCCCACGGATCCTGATCTCGGATCCGTCGGGATCATAGATCCAGCTCTGTAATTTATCGAGAGATCCATAGGGATCACAGATCCGAGTCTCATTTTTTGCTTGAGATCCAGTGAGATCATAGATCCTCACTTATTTTTTGTTAACACATATATCCCAAAAAAGCACTTGTTTCAACTCAAACGTTCTGTTTTAGTGATTTTATGTGATCGCACGTCATAATCCATAGTTTTGTGTCACTTATTGACATAGAAACCCTTTAAAACATGGTTTCAAATGTGGTGCATGGTGGGATCCACTCAGATCATAGATCCATGTTCTTAATTTATCGTCAGATCATTTGAGATCATAGATCCAAGATGTATTTTTCACGCCGGATCCGATGGGATCATAGATCCCAACCTGTACTTTGCTTCAAGATCCACTGAGATCATAGATCCATCACTCGGATCCATGCACATGTCTGGATGCAACACGCTTTGCATCAGTGATACTATGGCACGAAATGTTGAACACTAGCATAGGTTGCAATGTAGATCCAAGGTGTCCCAGAAGCCAGAGCAAAAATTGACACCTTCATGATTGTGGCAAAACTCCACTGCCTGACTACACAGAGCACCAACTGTTTGCTCCTCTAAACTTTCACCAAAGGAAGTGTTGCTGATGTCATTTGTAGCAGCAGTGACACTGGTAACTTCAAATCACAGGATCTGGCAGCATCCATGCTCTTGAATCTGGATCTTATCAATGCAGCATTGCACCTGTGAATAAATGAAAAATGGCATAAGACAGTAAGGAAAGATCATGGCAAGTCATAATGAGATACATATGTTTAACATGCATGGATAAAAGGACATTATATACTGAAGCAATTAGCAAAACATTGCAGTTTAAGCACAGTTGAAATCTGATATGATGAACTGGATACAGTGACATCATCAATACCCATGAACTTTACATAAAGTATTTGCAATTTTGAAATGCACTTTTATTGCAGTTACCTATACAAATATTCTAGAAGGTGAAAATTTATTTTAAAAAACAACAAAAAACTTGCCTGTATTTAGTTGCTAAAAAAGCTGAGGGAATATTCTAAAATAGTGTTCACTTCAGTGTGAATCAAAACTTAGAGTAAACAATTATTTACCTGATGAAATGAAGATATATCAATAATGAGTAGCTTTAGGTGGTGATGAGTTAAAAAAAAAACATTTTGCAAGAAAGGCTATCAGTTACTTCTGGATGATATACTGCAGTGCACAAGCTGTTCACCAACTCCTACCTGGTCTTTCAGTGGGATCCCTCTGTATGCACCTCAGAACTTCATCCGCAGGGCTGGTTCCTTCATACGCAGGTCCTCTGCCTTTCTTGATTCCTCAGACTCCATCCTGAAAACTCCGCACCAGAAGCATGATTGCACTGGGCACCTGTAACACCATGTAGGATGATCAATACTTGTAACAATTCATAAATAGTAGGTAGCTTAGTGTTCTATTACATATACCTCCTGGTTGCTGGTGTCAAAATAGATCCTATTTGTCCTTTTCCATCATAACCTTTATCTGCATGCAATATCTTTGGTACCAGACAAAGTAGAACACTGCTAAAATGCTTGCAATGAATCTTATGAAAATGCATTGAATTTATATAATCATTCTCAGCAGCATGTATCATCTTATAATGCCTTTCCCAAAGGGCAGGTCAATTTCCTATATTGATATGCCCATAAACTTATACAGGTAAATTACCTCATATGGGCAATACAAGATCCAGCTATGAGTTAAGTTAGACTATTTTATACTCTTAGATATGCTCGCCATAAAAAAAATGTCGGGAAACGTGTTACATCGATGGAATTACCGTTTGGAGTCGGTCTATCTTCGGCTTCTCGCCTCTCTTCGGCCACGTCAATTGAAGCCTTTCTAAGTCTCCTGTCCTTTGTAAACTTGCCTTTCCATGTTTGTGACACTTGCTGAATATAAATTCACAATCCATCTGAGCAAAATTCAAATCAATTGCTATCAAATTCACCGAAATTCAGTCCCTCGGACCGCCACCGCACGGACTCCACACAGTGCAAAACACAGTGGCGCATTCGCCGCCACAGTTTCTGTGTCCAAAGAAGGCAGTGCTGCCACCTGGTGAGGAAATAAGCCGAACATCCCCATTTTCAAATATAATGTAAAATACATTGCAGTGAAATAACAAAATAGTTCAGTAAAATAGGATTTGCGACGATCAAACAACACGTGCGCCATTGATGTCTGCAAAAATTGCTACCAGATTGCTACCAAATCCGTGACGTAACTACGGCGCCTTTTTTTCCCTAGTGAACCAACCTGAGTAGTAAAGTAATCTTGAATAAAATGACGTCTTCTTCTAAGAATGTAAAAATTTGATACTTAATCTTTGTTTGAGAGCAAGTTTTTATTTGTATAGCATTATTATCAATCAATTATAATTTTTATGGCTGTTTGTAGTGAAACAAAACAATTTATTGTCACTCTTTGCTATTGACGTCATTAAAAACTCAAGTGAAATTTTTGATTGAAAGAGGCAATTGTGGCTTGCACGTCCTTGGGGATTTGAGCGAAGATCATTATTTGGAAAAATCAAAATAATGAAAAGTATAATTTTGTAAGGAGGTCATTCAAAAAACAATTAAACAATGTTTTTCTTTCTTGGATGCTCACTAGGGACGCCGGTGAAAACAGGGCGCCGGAGGGCATATTAGTCACGTGACATTTGGAAGTTCTCCCCCTTCGTGGGCCTTCTACATGCTAAATGTCACGTGTAAATTTCACCAACCTTGATCAAATCGCCCCAGGCGCCCTGTTTTCACCGTCGTCCCTCACTAGTGTTTTGATGCCTTGCATATCAAATTAGTTTGAGACTTGCTCAGAAGGCTGCTTCAAGCCTGGCATATCACACCCCAGAAAATATGCAAGGTGAGAAAGAAGCAAGAGTTTTGACTAGACAATCACTGTTTGACAGTCCATCAACTTCAGTTTCATTTTCCATACCTAACATTGATAATGAAAAGCATCAGGGTCTGTTGTTCTGTCCCACAACCATGCTTCAGGATTTGGCATTAGATGTCTACACTGCTAGTGCTTCTATTCTGGTTCGTTGTTTATGTTTTCTGTTGATGTAGGTACCTACCTACCTACCCATCTTTCTTAACCCCTTGCAAGGGCTTGTGTAGGCATGCGTTGCGCATCAGGCTTCAGGCCTTCGGCCTAAAGCCAGATACACAACCACTTAAAGGAAATAGTTCACTTTTAACATGGGGTTTTGAGCTGGAATAGCAGTTTCGTAGCTTGAGCTGAGACTAGCACAAATCAGGAGCTTTTACGGCTCAACGATCACCCTAGACGAAGAAATTCCATTTCTCGTTCCGAAAAGAGTGCCTTGTAGAGGAATGCGTGCCTTGCACAGGAATGCAGCCACGTCATCGTCAGCCAATCAGCGTGCTGCTTACAGCCAATGCAGTATTCGTAGGTTTGAGCTACGCAATATGATTGGTCAATGCGTAATAAGCTTCCGCGTCAAACATTATTTTACATAGAATATAGTTCGCCCTATATTAAAATAAAGAAAATAATTGTTTTTACAAAAAGGTTTTATTTTATTTCATGATTATTTTGAGCATAAAAAATCATAAATCAATAGCAAAATACTGATTTCAGGAAAGTGGACTGTTTCCTTTAACCTATGATGCTTCATGAGCTTGAGAATCTATAGCCCATTGCAATGTGCTTTTGGCTATATGTTCCAACTAAAAACAACTTATTATATACTATTTGGCTGCATTTCATTGAAAGTATCCACGGCCGGCTGACGGCTGGCTGCCCACAGTTTGCCACGGCTGTGGGCGGCTGTGGCTGTGGAGCCACGGCTGCGGGGCGGCTAGGCTGTGGAAAATTGCAGCCGTGCAGAACTCTACTGTAGAAACTTGCAATTTGTACCCATGACCTGACCTTGACCTTGACCTCAAGGCTCACACTTTAAATAAAGTACATGTTTTTAGTTGTTCGTGATGAGATCTTTCGAGTGGCGTTTGAATTTTCCAAATCGGTCCATTAGTTCGGGAGATAACAGGGGGGGGGGTAAAATTTACCCACCCCCAGCCCCACGTGTTCGGCTGGCGACCCCAGCCCCGCGCGGGTTAACACTTAGCTAGAGGTGGAAATGAATATTAGTCATTAGTCAAAAATTAGTCGACTAACGTTAGTCAAGCGCTTTTTTAGTCAGTCAAAAGTCAGTCAACCAAAATATTTGTTAGTCATTAGTCAGTCATTAGTCAAGGATTTTGTTGCATATTAGTCGACTAATTTGTCGTAATTCGTGAGGTGACTTAGCCCGCGCTCCACTGGGGTCGCCGCCGAACGCGCCCGACTGGGGGGGGGGGGGGTAAATTTTACCCCTCCCCCTGTTATCTCCCGAACCAGGCGTCGTAACGGCCGACATATCTTGCGCCCGCTTCGCATTGCGTTGGCCATAAAATGATTAGGGATAAACTTTGGGATCGATTGGTGTTTTTTTTTTCCGGTGTCGATCGGACATCTAGAAGCGCTTTGATGAGTAACTTGTAAACGGTCACAGGCTGTACTTTTAACAGTTTTCGTTTCAGCCAGGCATAGAATGTCGTTGGCCCAGTGCCCACCATGGCCAACATCATTGGCGGATCCAGCCCGACGTTTTTTTTTGGGGGGGGGGGGGCAAATGGTCGAAATGACCCCTTTCTTTCCATGCGCCGCCATAGGCGTAATATTAAAACTCGGGTCTTTTGGGGGGGGGGGGGCAAACGGGCTTTGGGGGGGCAATGGTCCTAAATGTCCCCCTGGATCCGCCAGTGGCCAACATCCCCAGCTGCTGATTGCACTGCTTTGTTCATTGCTGATTGCGTTCATTGTGGTCAAACATCACAGGTCACATGCTCTGAAATGCTGAATGGAACAAACATTAAAATAAAACATGGTGTTGGTCATCGTTTATATTTCTTAGCGTATCGGCAAATTTTTATTTACGCAGAGCTAGCAAATTCCGAAATTTAGTCAAATATTGGTCAAAATCAAGAAAAGTAGCGTTAGTCATTCAATAGTCAGTCAAGCTTTTTGAGACGAAAATTTAGTCAGTCAAAAGTCAGTCAACCAAAATTGTCATTAGTCATTAGTCAGTCATTAGTCAAGATTTTGGAAAACGTTAGTCATTTCCACCTCTACTCTTAGCGCCATGGGCGTATAAACGCAAAATATTCACTATAGCAAATTTAATCACGTTTAACCTCAATTGATCTTGAAGATATTGATCTAGGGCCATGAAATTGGCACACGATAAAGTTCCCCACCGCCCCACCTACAATTCAAATTCCGTTCTTTAATAACTTTTTTTTTTTACTAAACCGGGCCTTTCTTCCCTAGCGCTGGGAGAGTCAGGCGTATTTCCTTTTTGCAACCAAAGAGAGGCGCTGCCGGGAGAATGCTCAGTTGCATCATTAAAAAAGAAAACTGGCTTACAGCTCAGCGATGACCAGCTATCTTCGTGGCTTAGTAGCTAGTGTGCCGAGTGTACCCAACCCACCTCGTAATCTAAAGGTCGCTGGCTCGTGGCTGGTCAGCCTCAAGTGTTTTAACACGCGTTCATTTTTGTTTTATAGTGTTCGTATCTAAGTAGCATTTGGCCAGCCAGCAACTGCCGTGAGGGCTATACATAAGTTTACGCGTGTTAGATTAGGTCAGGTCAGGTTAGGTTTGCTTTGGTTTGATTAAGGTAGAAAGAACCATCTCCGCGTAGCGCCTTTCCTTGGTTGCTGAAACGAAACGCGCGAGTGCCAGACATTACGAAGTCCAAAAGACAGTTACGTAGACGTCGGCCCATTCTGAAATTTTCATATGAAGTAGCTAATGTATGGAAGAATAAAATATGCAAAAATCAGCAAAATCGAAGGGTACCCATTTTTCAGAAATTCAAAATTTATTTTTTGAATTTTAATTATGCTCACTAATTAGTTAATGAAGTCCATATTGTGATCCTCAAATTAAAGCCTGATCTATTGCCTCCATTTCAAACTTTGTCGCGTGGTGATATGTCTAAAACTTTAAAAGTTATGACGCTTTAAAGATGATAATGTGCCTTACCGAAGTCAGTGTTTGATGACGTGTATCTCGGAAAAGTGACGTCATATCTTGGCAAAAAAAATGTCTCCTTTCTTTTCACATATAGATGAGTAGGTTCACAAAGTTTCGCAAAAATCGGAGGAGGTGAGGTTCAAAATCGTCATTTTTTGTCCCACTTGACGTGGAATGCCCCAGACGCCATCGGTGACCTTTTGCTGCCTCATGCCACCGCCCCTATCGTTGAGTGTTTCACGGTCCGAGCCAGTCGCTCCACCGATACCGTATCGGCAACAGATATTGTCACCACAGCCCCGCACAGGGTGTCGGCTGGGATATACAGGAGTACCACAGGGACCAGCAGTGTCGGACAGTCCCACCTACAGAGCAGAGCCGTACAGACCAGCGTGTGTCACCCACCGAGACCACTGATATACTGCCTTGGGAGGAGCCATCCGCTGCCCCGTGCTGCCCACCGAGACAAGGTACACCGACTGACTTGGAGAGGGTAGTTTCACTGACTGCGTGAAACCCACCCACACAAGGTAAGTCAACATATCGACACGTCTTTTCCATACCCCATGTCTGTATTCCGTGAATTTCAGGTGGTACGACAGATCTCAGAGTGTCAGATTATTCGATCCTGATTATATATGTGTGTTAGTGAGCTTCTTCTGACATTTCTTGATCTGCCAAGACAGACAAACTTGAGAAAGTCCGAGTTACTGTAACTGTACCATCTTTGAAAGTTTATTTTAAACCTGTCGGAAATTCACGGAAGAACGGACATGGGGATTGGAAAAGAACAGGGTGATATGGCATAGTTACTTTTTACATAAATTAGGTATAAGCACTTGTATCGGCTATTTTGCTCCTTATACTTTTGTGTTAACCCGCGCCCCGCTGGGGGGGGGGCAGAATCTGCCCCCCTCCCGTTTTTCGCCAATAATTTCTAAACGCGTTACGCCAGCGACGTCAAACATTCAGTACCTTATCATACATCAATTTGACACTTTCCCTGACAATTTGAGCGAAATCCGTCGGAATTTTTTTTTAGAAATTGACGGTTTAGTGACGTCATGTTAGCCATTTTCGCCTCAAAAACGGCAAAATTTCAAACGCCGCTAACATCTTCATTTTTGAACAAATCAAGACGTAACAAAAAAGGTTATACGTGATTCTACTTTCTCTATCAAATGGCTATCTCGGTTAAAAAAAAAAAATATTTGCATTTTGGCCCAAATTTTTTTTCTTTAAAAAACTGAGTTTTTGGGAAAATAATTATAAAATCCAAAATTTTGAGTGTCTCGAAAAAAAAACGGAATAAACGTCAGAAAAGTGGTCTATGTGCTCCTACATACTAATTTTTAGAAGAATCGGTTAAAAAAATGTGGGAGTTATTCAAAATTTTATGACGTAACGACACACAAATTTTTTGAAAAAAATGATTTTTTTAAGTTCTAGACCTCGTACGGGAACAAAAATAGTACCATTCGATTCGCCGTGAAAAACTGCATCAGATAAGACACCTTTTTAGGCCTTAACAACCAGCTTCAAATTTGACCTCACTTGACCTGACCTTCACCTGACCTCGACCTGAAATTCATCCAGAGGTGGTCCATATCACTTATTGAGTGTGCCTATTGAATTCTATGAGTAAAATGACCCATAAAACATGTGTCGCACATGCCCTTTTCTATATTTTGTTTTTGGTGACCTGACCTGACCTGACCTTGACCTTGACCTTTGAACGGCATTGTATGCAACGAATATTGTCTTGGTAGTCTAAGAACACGTTTTGGGCAATCAGTCTCAGTCCATTCTTCGGCAACTACGGTGCAAGGCCGATACTGTAGAAACTTGCATTTTGCCTATTTTTGCCTATTGAATTCTATGAGTAAAATGACCCATAAAACATGTGTCGCACATGCCCTTTTCTATATTTTGTTTTTGGTGACCTGACCTGACCTGACCTTGACCTTGACCTTTGAACGGCATTGTATGCAACGAATATTGTCTTGGTAGTCTAAGAACACGTTTTGGGCAATCAGTCTCGGTCCATTCTTCGGCAACTACGGTGCAAGGCCGATACTGTAGAAACTTGCATTTTGTACCCTTGACCTGACCTTGACCTGACCTCTGACCTACTTAAGCAAAAAAAATGGGCTCTTAAGATCCGCCTTGTTGAGAGCTTTCGATTGCCGTTTTCCCCGTCTTTCTATGACCATCGGTTCGGAAGTTAGACGGGGGGGGGGGGGCAGAATCTGCCCTTTAGTAGGGCGCGTATGGCTGAATAGCCCAGCGGGGCGCGGGTTAACCCGCGAGTTGCTGGGGGGGGGGCGTTAAACGCCCCCCACTTTTTTCGCCAGGCCATGGCATAAAAACGGCGCGCCGCAGTCGCGCCAAATTTTGGGTACTTGTAGGGAATTGATTGAAGTTTATTTTGGCAAAGTTGCAAAAAAAAAATCGGTCGGAAATTTTTTGAGATATCGAGGTTTTAGTGACGTCATGATTTCTGAGTTTTTGACCAAAAACGGCATTTGTTCAAAAAAACATATAAAATCACAAAATAGACATACAGACATGCCGTAAACGCCATTAAACTGCCAATACCATGAACAATCAAATGGCTATTTTTGATTATTGATTATCGTTCCGCATTTTCCAAAATATTGAACTTAATCTCGGCAATTTCTCGTGACTACTTCACGACCATGATACATGCATTTCTTAAATTGAACTTTTTGAGCCAAACACGTACACATATGATAAAATGAATGTCACAATCGTGTTCTACGCCCCAAATTACCCATAAAACATGTGTCACAGACTGCGAATATCAGTTTTGATTTTCGGGGATAAATGCCTACCCGGGTGACCTGACCTTGACGCTGACCTGTGCTTGAATGACCCCTACATGGAGCTGACACTCTTGTAGGCCTTATATGATGGATTGTGCACCGTTTTGACAGAGTTTATGACGAGAGGCGCCCATTGCGAAGTTCTGAGGTCCATGCTAATGAGAGCCCGATTTCAGGTGTTTGACCTGACCTTGACCCGACCTGTGATCTCAAAATTCAACTTTAAAGTACTCATCCGAAGCGTCTCGTTGCGTTCTTTCGTTTGCCGCCTCGTGGGTTTCGCTGCGCCTATTGGTTCTCGAGTTATCGGCTGGGGGCGTTTAACGCCCCCCCCCCCCCAGCAAACGGTGGGTATCGAAATACCCCAGCAACTGCCGGGTTAACGTAGGAGTTTTATTGTTATCCAATTTTAGCAGTATCTTTAGCATGACGCCCTGGCGTTGTAACACGTGGCAAGGCGCGACATATGACCTGGTGACGTGACACGGCGTTACACGACATGACGCCCTGGCGTTGTAACACGTGGCAAGGCGCGACATATGACCTGGTGACGTGACACGGCGTTACACGACATGACGCACTTCGTACGATTCAGCACGTCGTAACATGTCTTTGTGTGTTATGATTATCAGAAACGTAAGACACTTTGCTTCTGCGTTCCAGATGGAGATGGTAGCTATGCGTAAAGACCTGACCGCCACTCGTGAAGAGGTGTCCGCCCTTCGTGAAGAGATGGCCGCCCTTCGTGAAGTGGTGGCCCCCCTTCGTGAAAAAGTGACCATTCTGAGTGAGGTAGTGGCGAAGGACAATTCAGACACGAAGAAGCTCAAGGGGGAGAACGCCGCACTTCACGGTGCGGTGGTCCGCCTGGAGCAGGCAGTTATCGAAGAGCGCACCACTCGCCAGACCGTGGTGGAGGAGCTGCGGCAGGAGGTCCGCCGGCGAGCGGCGCCATCCGGCCGTCCCCAGGGGTGAGACTGGGAGGCAGCAGTGGTGGCTGCGGGGGCTGAGAGATTTCGAAGCGGTCATGGTGAGAAGTAAACTTTCTTTGTAGAAGGTGAAAGAAATAAACCATCACTAGGTCTTTGAAGGTCGAGTAGCTTGTAATTGTAATTTCCGCCCAATCAAAGAAACATGTCTTGAATTCGTACCATCTGTTAGCCGTTTAGTCTCGATCGTATTGTTCCAGTTTTCGACAGACGTCCTGCAATCTGCATAAAGTTGGCCAGTTTGGGGCATTATATCCCGCACGTATTTACATGTCTTCATCAGCAATCGTGTCACAAAATCTAATCGGTCGTATCAAATCGTTCAGATTCGTATGAAATCAACTCTGAACGATTTTATTCAACCGAATAGATTTGGCAACATACTATTGCTGACGACGATATGTAAATGCATATCGTATCATCAAAGGAGCCAACTAAAAATGTGAACTTCTTTTGCATTTTGATTTATGTTCCTTTTTCTTATCTTTTCAGTAAAATTACAAAAGCGTTTCATGACGTCACGGTACAGACGGAGCCGCAGCCACCGGCAGACAGTGATACCACAGTGCTGAGAGAGGCGCTAAGGACCGTGACGACGTTCGACGCTCCGTCAGACCTTGGCGAGGACCAGCTGACGGCGCTCCTGCAGAGTCTTCCTCGCTTGGAGGAGCTGACCGTCAGGGTGCCGTCCTTCGGAACGGGGCGGTGGCTGCGGCTGCTGCCGACGTCACTGAGGACGCTATACGTTGCCGGTGAGAAGTAGGTAGTCGAGGAAAATCGTACTGTTACTTCTGATTCTCTGAATGGTGGTAGGTACTTACATAGTATGTACTTAAGTACATACATAAAGTAACAGTTTCAGTGATAAACGTTCAGCGGACATGTGTGCCATGCTACCTACATGCTACACAAACATTAGCCACTGTATTGTACCTACTTTTAAGGCCGCCGTCCACTGTGCGGAACGCGTGCGGTCCGTACGGAATTTAACACAGAACCCTATGGGCGCATCCGGTCCGTACGGAAATCGTGTGCGCTCCGTCCGGACCGCATCCGAACGGCAATCAGCTGTTGATTTTCCGTCAGCTCTCCGCATGCGTTTTGGATGCGGTTGCTACGGAGACGGAAGAGTGATGTCCGACGCGTTGAACTTTTCCGCATCCGGAACGTCCGGAACAGACGTGGTTTGGGGCCGTGTCGGAGGCAAACATTGTGAACATTGTGAAGAATTGGAATTCGATCATCATGAAGTAAGTAAAAATTATTTCCTTAGAATGGCAAGAGTATTCGCTGCTGGTTACTTGCAATATTTTATTTGGTAATAAGTGATAGGAAACATTTATTAGCTCTCCGCATCCGGACCGCATCCGGACCGCATCCGGACCGGATGCGGCCAGCGTGCGGCGACATTCCGGACGGACTCCGGACGGAATTCCGTCGCAGTGGACAGCGGCCCGTCCGGAATGTCGCCGCATCCGGTCCGGATGCGGTCCGGATGCGGTCCGGATGCGGAGAGCTAATAAATGTTTCCTATCACTTATTACCAAATAAAATATTGCAAGTAACCAGCAGCGAATACTCTTGCCATTCTAAGGAAATAATTTTTACTTACTTCATGATGATCGAGTTCCAATTCTTCGTACAATTCACAATGTTTGCCTCCGATACGGCCCCAAACCACGTCTGTTCCGGACGTTCCGGATGCGTTTTCCGCAGAAAAGTTCAACGCGTCGGACATCACTCTTCCGTCTCCGTAGCAACCGCATCCGAAACGCATGCGGAGAGCTGACGGAAAATCAACAGCTGATTGCCGTTCGGATGCGGTCCGGACGGAGCGCACACGATTTCCGTACGGACCGGATGCGCCCATAGGGTTCTGTGTTAAATTCCGTACGGACCGCACGCGTTCCGCACAGTGGACGGCGGCCATGACCTGCATGTACTGAACCTGTGTTACCTGTATGCACTGAACTGTATTAATAAACTGACGCATGTATAAGCATAGCGCATGCATTGTGCACAATGTTCAATTACTGTCCAACAGTGCGGATCGACCCTGGTCAGTGTCGTCTGTGTCAGGGTTTGACACCACAGTGTCAGCCGCCTCCCGACCCGGCAGCAGCTCCGTCCGACTGCTGTCAGCTAACACAGCTCTGTCCGAATGTCCGTCAAGACAGCCCATATTCAGCCCAGATTCAGCCCGGATTCAGCCCAGATTCGGGACACCTCCGATCAAGCTGAAACTCGCACACAATGTAGGCCATGACATGCCCAATCCACAGTACAAGTCATTCGGTGGCACTCCCAGCCGTTTGACCTAGAGAGGTCAGCAAAGGTCACGTGGCCCAAATTTGCACAGCAGATTGTGGCCCACCCAGTAGAGCTAGAGCGCTAAAAATGGCACCAATCGACTCGCCAGCATCTAATCTTACTTTCCCAACACTCAATTGACCTCTCAAGGTCATGCGATGACCTACGGTCATTTGTGGGCTATGTCGAAAATACACTTGCACAGCAGTTTTCGAGTAGATGGATTGACCGAATTCCAAATCAAAGCACATCATCGGGTAGCCCATAGGCCGTAGTAACTTTCCTTAAAAACCGCTTTTCGATATTTGACCCCGTTTGACCTCGGCAGGTCAAAATGTGCAAATAAACGACACTCAATACGTCGCAGCCCGGATTCAGCCCAGATTCGGGACACCTCCGATCAAGCTGAAACTCGCAAACAATGTAGGCCATGACATGCCCAATCCACAGTTCAAGTCATTTGGTGGCACTCCCAGCCGTTTGACCTAGAGAGGTCAGCAAAGGTCACGTGGCCCAAATTTGCACAGCAGATTGTGGCCCACCCAGTAGAGCTAGAGCGCTAAAAATGGCACCAATCGACCCGCCAGCATCTAATCTTACTTTCCCAACACTCAATTGACCTCTCAAGGTCATGCGATGACCTACGGTCATTTGTGGGCTATGTCGAAAATACACTTGCACAGCAGTTTTCGAGTAGATGGATTGACCGAATTCCAAATCAAAGCACATCATCGGGTAGCCCATAGGCCGTAGTAACTTTCCTTAAAAACCGCTTTTCGATATTTGACCCCGTTTGACCTCGGCAGGTCAAAATGTGCAAATAAACGACACTCAATACGTCGCAGCCCGGATTCAGCCCAGATTCGGGGCACCTCCGATCAAGCTGAAACTCGCACACAATGTATGCTCAATCCACAGTCCAAGTCATTCGGTGGCACTCCCAGCCGTTTGACCTACAGAGGTCAGCAAAGGTCACGTGGCCCAAATTTGCACAGCAGATTGCGGCCCACCCAGTAGAGCTAGAGCGCTAAAAATGGCACCAATCGACTCGCCAGCATCTAATCTTACTTTCCCAACACTCATTTGACCTCTCAAGGTCATGTGATGACCTAAGGTCATTTGTGGGCTATGTCGAAAATACACTTGCACAGCAGTTTTCGAGTAGATGAATTGACCGAATTCCAAATCAAAGCACATCATCGGGTAGCCCATAGGCCGTAGTAACTTTCTTTAAAAACCGCTTTTCGATATGTGACCCCGTTTGACCTCGGCAGGTCAAAATGTACAAATAAACGACACTCAATATGTCGCAGCCCGGATTCAGCCCAGATTCGGGACACCTCCGATCAAGCTGAAACTCGCACACAATGTAGGCCATGACATGCCAAATGCACAGTCCAAGTCATTCGGTGGCAATCCCAGCCGTTTGACCTACAGAGGTCAGCAAAGGTCACGTGGCCCAAATTTGCACAGCAGATTGTGGCCCACCCAGTAGAGCTAGAGCGCTAAAAATGGCACCAATCGACTCGCCAGCATCTAATCTAACTTTCCCAATACTCATTTGACCTCTCAAGGTCATGCGATGACCTAAGGTCATGGGCGTCGCCGACGGGGGGGTCGGGGGGGTCGTGACCCCCCCCACTTTTGAAAACTGGGGGTGTCGACCCCCCACTTTTTGCGATGCTGAGTATGCTTTTTTAGCTTTTATGTCAGTGAAGCAGGCGTCAGCAACACCAACAAATACATCAGATTCAGAATCGCTTCAAGAGCTCCCTAAAGCCAATTAGCCAATTACCTAAAGTTCAATTAGCTGTGGGCGGGGAACACCAGCACAACAATATTTTTAAGTAGCCACCATTCTAGTACCTTTTTATCCCTCAAAGGATTGGACGCGCCAAAACTGCCCCGAGCGTTCGTCTGATCGTTTAACCCTCGCATGTGTGCGGCGTTTGCCAGCTTCTAATGTGTAGGGGGGGGGGGGTCGGTTGGACCCCCCTTGCCGTTTGGCCCCTGATCGAGCTAGAGCTTCGCGGAAAAAACGAGCGTGTTGCCCGTGACGAGAGGAAGCCGATGATACCCAATTTTAAGGTCCTAGGTCATTGGTTGACCTTCCAGGTCAGGTCAATGACCCAAAGTCGGGAAAATCGGGACCTGTTAGAAAGTCGTAAAGTGTGGCTTCTAAGGGGTTTTTCGGGGTGCTGATCACGAATATCGTGTTAGTTTTGATCACAGATGATGTCTTCAAGCATTTAGACCAGGTCGGGTCAGGTCAGGTCAGGTCAACCAGTAGGCGTCGTGACGGGTATTCGTAGTACGTGTCAACCGCCTCTGACAGCTTCGTAACATGTTACTTGCCTTTCGTACATGTTACGTAACATGTTACGAAGGCACCAAAACTACTTCGTAAATGTTCAAATGGTTGCTAAATTCGAATTCAGCTCCAAAAACTAGCCTAGAAACATGTACAGCTCGAAAAAGTGAACCGAGGTCACCCGAGGTCACCAAAGGTCAATGACCTGACCTGACCTTCAGATGACCTTGACACCCATCCTAATGCATGGAAGCAACATCAAATCACATGTTTGAACGTTTGAAACCACGAAAAGCTTGCAAACGCGCGGCTAATGCGAGCCGACATACGCAGAATCGCGATTCCGGCCAAACATGGTCTCGGAAAAGAGGTCACAGGTCAAAGGTCATTTGGGTCAGGGTCATGAAATTTGCAGGGTAGGTGTAAAATTGATCAATGTGAGGGTACTGAAAGTTTCGTCGCGATCGGCCGCTTTTTACGCGAGTTATTCGCGAAAAACCATGGGGGGGTCCATCCGACCCCCCCCCCCTACACATGCGAGGGTTAAAAAAAAATGGTCGCAGTCGATTCGTCGGATCAGTACCTAACTACAACTACAAACTAGCCTCAGCCCCATGGCTATCGTCACAACTAGCTGTACAGTGCATATGTAGGGGAAAGGGAGTCAGATGAAACCGTCTCGGGCTTTCGCAAAGAAGTCGCGCAAAAGGAGCCGATTGCAACGAAACTTCCGGTGCGCTCGTGTTAATCACCTACTTAAAAATAAATCGATATCCCTGATTCAAATAAAGATGACCTTGGTTCACTTTTTCATAACATGCTTTTAATTTAGGTATAGGATAGTTTTTGGAGCTGATTTTGAACTTAGCGCCCATCTGAACATTTAAGAAGTAGTTGTGTTGCTTATACCTACATATGTATAACATGTTAGGAAGCAATCGGTGGTGGTCATCCACTATTAGGTACTGGTCGATCTGACCTGACCTGATCTACCCCAAATGCATGGAGTCATCATCTTCGTTCAAAACTAAGATAACATTCGTAATCAGAACCTCGAAAAACCATCACAACTTACATTCGCAAAGTTCTAGCAGGTCCCGAGTTTCCCTACGTATTGGCGATGACCTGAGT